TAGCTAATACCTCTTGAACAAGTGATTGCTGTTCCGCATGTTACCGAAGAGCTGTGAAAGCTCGTCTGTAAGACCTACAGCTGGATGATCAATGCCTGGGAAACTTGAGCAATCGCATGCAGAGGCTTCATTAATTTTGAAGGCCTTAATTACTAGGATCAGCCAATTTTCCTGGAGTCGTTACAGTAGATGGCTATAAATAGTAAGGTTGACCCCTTCCAGCAATGATGTCAAAAGTTTTTCCACTGGAAGTCTGTTACATCTTACAGCAAGATTTGCTGTAGACACCGTTCCTATTTTATATGGTATCAGGACAGGTAACTTCCCAGAAAAAGGACATATTTGGAAAGAACGTTCTTTATGTGCTCTTAACAGGGATTGACTGTTGGGACATGCAGTAAAGACATCCTCTTTAATAGATTTCCCGGATGCCCTTCTGTGGGCTTGAACATAACCATCATAAATTGACTATCTTAGCCTGAAAAGAATTAATGCAACTGCTTTCAGACATTGTATATAAATTTATGGGATGGCTTAGATATTGTTTTATTGCATCTGGCAAAGTATAAAAAAGGCATTTCCTTTATTATTTGGGCCATAATTTGATCCTTCTGACATGTAGCTAGCTGTGAATTCAGTAGATCTTTCAGAAAGATTGAAATTGTAAGAGTACTGAGGAAAGGACATAAAAAAGGTCTGATGAAGAGATTTGGATTTACTTGGCCAACTGAAACAAGTGAACTTGGAGAGAATAACTTCTCACTCAAGGACTGAGCAAGCCATCTGACTGCAGGGTTTGTGGGCTTGAGACAGCTATTCATTTGGTTGTAACTCTGGTTGTTTGAATCTTATGCGTGATCTGTTAGATGACTTTTCTCCCTTGGGAGGTTGTAGTCCAGTTTGTTATAGCTGAAAAGGTTAGATCTAGATTACGTTTCTAGGGGAAGCATGATTGGAGAGAATCGTGAAAATAATTCCTGTTTAAATTGAGTTTTACTCTGCCTTAAGGAGAGATTAACAGTGTACCAAGCAGCCATTTCTGTTTTCAGCTAATGATGATCATTTCCAGTGGGGTGTACTCTATATGATGTTTTCCAGATTGAAATCAGCAATGATACATGTGATGCGAACTTTCCTAAACTTATTCTACGGTCCTGATAGTTTCCATCTCTGTAATTTAGTATTTTAACTTCTGGAGAAAGTCATGCTCTGCAAAATTCTGAGCCTTAAAGTGTTAAGAGAAGCTACGTGAACTGATGAACAAGTATGTTTTATAATATTTAGTGTTTGGATAAAGCAAAAATTATTTTAGATTGACAGTTTTTTATTTTTGTCTGAAGTTTTTATGTTTAAGATTGTACTTCGTGCAGAAATATTCTGCACTTGGTAGGATGTATTTTGCATTTAACTTCATATGCAATGAATCTTGGACTTGTACAGCCCAAAGTCAAAGTAATGTGTGCCCTATTTAAGTAATGAGCTATTGATTTTAAAATTAGTCATTTTATTACCATAGTATGGAACTAGTAATATTCTGAAAACTCATCTCTGAAATGGACGATGTTGAATTTCGGTTTGAGGTGGGACAGGAATGGGCTTTAAGGATTTTACCTATTGAAATCCACTGGATAACAGATAGCAGGGACTGTTCAGCCTCATTTAGAGCCATACGCTGTACTCAAAGCGTTGGTGAAGAAATGCCTCTTCCTCTTGCTTTGAGCTCAGAGTTCTGAACAGGCTTCTAACATAATGTCACCTTTCTTTGTCACTGGTAGCTGTAAGCTACATGCATTCTGTTGCTAAGTATTTACAACACCTTCAGGATCAAGGAAATGCTGCCAAGAAGGCTCATTGTGAGAAATTTTACATTTGGCACCGCTTCGCCTGCCAGGACCAAGTAGGCTGTGAACAGACCTTCAGCATGTCTTTCAGTGAAGAGGTCCAGTCTGACATTGCAATAAGAGAACCCTGTCATGGCAAAGCAAACAAAAAAGCAATATTGCTAACAAAAAGCAATACTGCAAATCAAAAGCAATATTGCAAACAGTCAGGGGTTAAACTTCTTTTCCTCCCTTCTGCCCCCTTCTTTCAGGGATGCCAAGTGAGTTTGCTGGGAGAAGGGGTGTGAAGGTTGCAAGTTCAGTTAATTTGTATGTGCTTGTTTGTTTCCCATCCTTTGCCTGCTGTTAGTTCTTAGCTCTGCAGCACTGGGGTGTGTATAGAGAATCAATTTGCTTTCTGTGATTGCTTTAAACAACTTCAAACTGCCCATGCCATAAGATTATTGCAGGTCCCCTTCTCCTAGCACGTAAGTGAGAAGAAATGGCTACACATCTGATTTTTCAAACCTACATTTTTGCTTTACAGGCTGTGATGGAGTTTTGCTTACATAGTACATCACTGAAACAGTATATTAGTAAGCTGTATTTGTCAAGTAATAGAGATCAGTTTGTGCATTTTGTTACCAAAGATTCACGTTGCGCTTCTGCTTCCCTTCCCTTCCCACTCCCCCTTGTGTGTGAAACACAAAACTTCGTAAAATTTTGGCAATTTAGTGTTTCCATTTTCAATGTCTGAATTAAAGTATAAAACTGTGTAGTTTTATGCAATAAATGTGCTGTACATGGGAAGAAAGTCATAGGTGGTTTTCAAACTTTTAATCTAAACAGTCATAGTCACATCTGAACATCCTACATTAGGATGAAGTGAGCATAACTTGAAAATGCCTGCTCATTTCATTAGCTGACTGTCAAAGGACCCTAGATGGGTTTTTTTAGCTGTAGATGCCTAACGTTGGTCAGGGGAATTGATCCCAAGTTTTCCAAGCACTTCTTTTAGAACTTCAGGCTTCAGTTTTTTAAGGAATTATATGATGAATTTGTTTTGTATTGTCACAAAAATAAAAGAATCAGAGCAAGGTGTGAGGTACCTAGCTGACAGGCTTCTGAATTCTTTATATTAATGAACTGAGAAGAGAGTGGGCTTTGGGTGGGGGAGAGGAGGGGTTTTCTTTAAACCAAACACTTTCTATGCTTAGGTTCTCAAAAGTAGCCTTCTAAATTCTATTAAGCTCTTGATTGTTTACAAGGAAACTTTAAGGAACTGGGTTTCATTAATTTGACTGTATTAATAAAAATGTTGGAGACAGCTTTACTGTTGACTCTTCAGTGAATAAGTATGGAGCCCCACTGTGAAAATGTGAGTGCTGAAGGGTTGCATATTCCATCCAAACCCTATATCCCTGAACAGGAGTGTGTGTGGCTTTCTCGAGAAACAGACCTTTTCTTATATCCTTTCCACAGCAGAGCTACTAATTGTCAGAGAAGATAATGTCTGAATTATACAGTAAATAATAGTAAGTTGAGAGACAGTATTCAAAAGCTGTTGATACTTATGGAGATCATCCATTGCTCAGAAAGTCACCATTGTGGTAGTTTTAATTCATGCGTTATTCCATTTAGTGGTGCTTAAATACTTTGTGGTTTGGAAGACATAATTACATCATCTCTTTAGCGGTGACATGAAGTTGCATGCCTCAGTTGGAGCTGGAAAGTCACCAAAAGGATACTCTGTGATAGGTGAAAGATCTGGAGTCTGGAGGCTGTCCATCGGTGTCCTGATATCATCCTTGTCTTTGTTCAGAGCTTTAAATAAAAAGGTCACACCAATTCCTCTTTAATGAGTTTCCTCCTCCCTTTCTGGATTATTAATGGCACCGAAGCAGATTTGGTCTCTCATTGTATCGAGCACTTTAGTGACTGGATTCTGTACGAGACCAGTGGTAACGATAGTTGGCTAGGAAAAAATCAAGAAAAGAAAACTTGCTCATATTTCTTTCTATCTTAGTCTTGTAGCCAGCCCAGCAGCGTGTTTTGCAGTGCTTACGATTTGTGAATACTTAACCCCTGACACTGTCTTTATTCAGAAGAATGTCATGCAACTTGTGCTGTGTAATGGTTTTATGCTTAAAAGAGCATTGAAATTTTTTTTTTCCTTTTTTACTTTGAGCTTATTTTTAGTACCCTAATGTTTAATGAAAGACACTAAACAACTTAAGGCTTTTACAGATCCTTCCCTGTATATGCAAGGTCCCATTTTAATGTGGGTTTTATGCATTTTCTTCATCTACCACCTACTTTTTTCTTAGCCAATGACAGTAAGATTCCTGAGGCTACTTTCTCTTTAAGGACATACTGCTTACATAAATAGTCCTTTACACCATCTCCTCGTTTTATAATATTAATTGTTTATCAGGAGAGGGGAAATAGTCCTTAGAAATGTGTTTTCCTGCTTGTGCATGCCTTGTTACTATTTCAATTATGCAGATTCTTGATGCTGTGGAAATTTGTGCTTGATGACGCCAAGGCAGCTGCACGTTGTTAGCATTGTAGGCTGTCAGATGATCATGTGGGATTCTTGCAGCATGCAACATTCAATAGGATTGAAAAAGGGCTTTTGATGCAAGGCATAGCTTTCAGAATATATTTGTGCCTTTTAGTTAGCTAATATAAAATCATAATTTATTATCTTTAAATTTAAAATGCTGCCTCATTTTTCTTCTGGTTGGTTTCATTTTGGCTTCACTAGAAGATGCATCTGGTACATCCACGATTGAGGAGTTTATTAATGATACTGTCGTTCAGTTCACTTACTTTTTTTCCTTTTAGAGTCCTGGCTAGCCCACAGATTACATGATCACATGTTCATTCAGTCATTCATATAGAACACAAACCACCATGCATGATTTCTTCTTCTTTCTTTTTCCTCTCTGCCTTTTTTATTCCCTTTAAGTTGCTTTGTCATGTTGTCTTTTATCATCCAGCTTAGTCTTTGTCTTCCCCTCGCTGCTATTTGTTCTATATTTTCCCATGCTTGGTTACTGCAATATTATTTGATTAACGGGCTGTGATGATGATGAACCTGCACACTGGAGGAGCAGCTACTACAGTGGTGATGAAGGGATGTAATAATGGTCGCTATCCTCGGAATTCTCTCTACAGTGACTGCATAATAGAAGAAAAGGCAGTGGTCCTGCAGAAAAAAGACAATGAAGGATTTGGATTTGTGCTCAGAGGGGCAAAAGGTATGTGCTTCTGTGTGTGTGTGCGTGTGTGTGTGTGATGTGCACTGGCATGAAGAAATTTATACATCTCTGAATATAAGCAGGAATTATTCTTGGTGCACTTGGTTGCTAGACAACAGGATTCTCTGTATGCTGTACTACTCCGACGGATTTTAGTGGCTTCTGTCTGAAGCAGTTTGCATTTTTACATAGGAGAAGCCGTGGATAATCGTTTTGGGGGGAGAAAGTTTTGTCTGTATTTTTATTGTGTTGGTATATGTAATATTTTGTCGTGAATCTGTTTTGTTATGCAGTTTACCTAACTATGGGAAACCTGCTTTCCTTCTAAAACCTGCTGCTTTATTTCAAATGTCAGTCTGTTTAAATAGGTCTACGAATAGAAATAGACAAGAGAGTGCTGTTTTGTTTAAAATAGGTGTGGATCTTCTGCAAGGTGACATTGGTGCAGTTTTAGTATGAAAATATGATCTTTTTTTATATCTTCAGAAGCTGCACGTATGTTGCATGGCCTGTAGTGTGCTCATTTTAAAAGCTGTTCATATGTTAAACTGCATGTTACTTTTCTGTAGACTAAAATCTGTAATAATGGCATTCTTAAGAGTTAAAAAAAGCATTCTATTTAATGCTTTGCTTTTTAACTTTCAGTCCAGTTTGCTCCTTTTGTATTTAAAAAAAAAAAATGATGGTATGTCCCATCTCTTGCTCCCCCTCATTTTACATGGGTTCTCCCTTGCCTTGCTTAAGCATGAAAATTATTCCATATCTTCATTCTTGGGACATCATTTTTGCTCTCCCGGTTCCCCCACCCGCAAACCAGTGCCACCGTCGATTTTCAGTGTTGTAAAAGCTTTTCTAATTTTAGCTAAATAAAAATTCTTGGAGTTCTACTAGGAAAGCCAATAGCGCTACCTTTTAGCTAAGCCATTGGCACGAGTTGTCTGTGCATCGAGCAGGGGTTACTCCCTCTGTGTGAGCCCAACGATTGTCCCCAGATTTTCTCTGTAACAGCGAGGGCACCTCAGGTGAAAGACCCAAGGACTTTTCTGCTTGTATATGTACGTGGCAGAGAGAGGGCTGTTACAAGGCCTCCTAAAAAGTGATTTCTTCTGTTATCTTCTCCATAATATACATCTAAACCTAGGAGAAAAAATCAGTTTGATCATCTTTGTCCTTTCCCACCCACACCCTCCCCCCGGTTCAGCTGGATGCTCTCTTCTGGCTCTGGTGCAGAATTCGTTTTTGGTTGGATGTTTCCAGAGTTACAAGCATTTTGCTAGGCATACAAAAGGGTTACTTGAACTAATACTGAATATCCTGGAATACTCAGAATCCAGCTATTGCCTCATACAGCTTGATTTGGTTTGTGTCAGTAACGAAGCATGTATTTTTCTCTCTGAATTGAAGACCTGTGGATTGCTATTGCAGAGAGATTGCACTCTGTTCCCAGCATCTTGATACCCTCTGAGGCAGATCCCTCTTAGTTTGAGCACCCACCATCTTTTAACCATCAGTTTGAATGGCCAACAATAGGCCTTTAGTCAAGCGGTATTTGCAAGCACTCCATAACTTTCTTTTTTTAATGTGGTATTTATTTTTAAAGCTGACACACCAATTGAAGAATTCACCCCAACTCCAGCCTTTCCTGCTTTGCAGTACTTGGAATCTGTGGATGAAGGGGGAGTAGCATGGCAAGCTGGCCTGAGAACTGGAGACTTTTTGATCGAGGTAGGAGACCCTGAAATTTGATTCGCAGTGCTCTGTCGGGGAAATAGTGCTGTTCCCTTGGTAGAATTTACTTTGGAAGAAGTGGGTGATGCTTCTGAACAGCAAGTTCAGTGGACTAACACCAATGATGCACTTTATCCATTTTAAAATCTCACTCAGCGTTTAGGAAAGCAGTTAAAAAGCACAGTGTTCAGGTTGGCTGGGGATTTTCTGCTTGTTCTTTTTCTTGTTTGGGAATACACTATCAGAGAAATTTGGGAGGTTTTATTCTTCTTTGTATTATGGAATTGAAATTCAGATTAACTCAAATTTTTGTTGTAGGTTATCAATTCTCTGATCTTCTAGATATTTTTACAGTCACCAAAATTAATGCCTTTTTATGCAACTGTTTCTGCAAGCACAAATATCAGTGGTCTAGTGCTGTTTAGAAACCATGAAAAATAAAGCAAATTACTTTTAGCTTGAAATTAAATATTTCCAGCAGCACACTGTAAATACAGTCATCCAAAAAATAAGCAATGGATGTTATTGCAATATAAATTACTTTATAAAAAGGGTTATATTTAAATACTCTCTTCCTTCATACCAAAAATGTCTTCATGTTTTGTATTTTGGAGGATTTTTGGTTGGTATTTTAGGTTTTGTTGAAATGGTTGATTACTCCTTTTTAGTGTTACTGAGCAGTTTGCAACAAAATCATGATTTGGGATTTTCTTCATCCTCCCCCCCGCCCCCCCCTCAACCTTTTCATCACCAGCAAAGCAGTGCTGTGATTCTGTGAAACTAGGTGTTGGAAAATAGGGCTTTCAGTATGGATCGACCAAGTCTTGTGTGCAAGATCTATTGATTTTATTTTATTACTTCTTCTTCAGGCACATATGTGTTTTGTTGAAGTATTTACTGGTGCTGCAACATTTATGTCTGCAGAGCTGGCCTTTGCATTCAGGAGGGGATTAATATGGAGCTTTTATTTCTTGTGTGCATTGAACTCCTGTGGTGATTGAATTTAAGTAGTTGCACCGCTTCTTCACGTTGTAGCAAGGAAAGAACAGGCTTTGCAGGCTTCTGAAGTAAATAGATGTGCATTTTTATCTCTGCCTTCAAAGCACATTTTTCTCACTATTTGTTTACTTAAGAATAAACATTTAGCAAACTGTTAAACAATAGCTTACAAATTGTACTGATATGTACTGATATGCAAGGATGCTTTCAAAATGACAATTATTGACGTTAGGTGGTGGGGTTTTTTTAAACAATGCTTTATTTTTAGAACTTGATTTCTTGTTAGGCTTTTAATCTATAGGAAGTATGAATAGTCTGCTGGCTGATTTCATGGATAGATTTGATGGTGAATAATGTGTAATTCAATGGAGAGGATTACAGAATGATAACTAGGCGTATGGATTTTTTTTTTTTTAAGATCTCTGAAGGGGTGCAGGAAGTCTGGGTAACTGCTTCTGCACAGATCTTTACTGGTTTTTTTTGGCAAAGGAAAGAAGAATTATAACGAATTGTCCAGACAATTTACTCCTAGCCTTAGCTTGGAAGAGCAGTTAAACATGCACATGCGTTGCTACATCAGGGCATTAATCCGTACGCTACACAGCCCAGCATACTTGTAACTAATTCTGAAAGAAGCAGTTGTTACATGCAAATCAAATCCATTTCTGTGTAATTTATGTTCATCAGGTTATTCTGTTCTGAATTTTGCCACTTAATTACGAGGATATGGTAATCCTGAGAAATCAAAACTTCACTGTTGTTGAAGACTTTTGTGTTGGAGGAAGGCAGGGGCTTTTATTTTCTATTTTATGAGCTACATGTGCAGTGCACAATAGTCTCTAGCTATAGAAAGCCACCTTTGAAGGTATTTACAGATGCAAAAGATACTACTGTTGAAATATAAAAGACTGGTCCACCTGTACTTCTAGAAATACAAAGCTACTTTAATTCTTGTGTTGAAGCATGTTACATGTGCTATACGTTGCAGAGAGTGGTTACCATAACTGGTGTAGTTGGTCTGTCTTATTATTAAATGATTTCTCCCATGACTCCAAAGTTTATGCTGCTGTGTGTAAGTGCCACCTCAACCATTTGTAAGCAATATAATGCATTTATCATAAATGCCACATGAATAATAAAAGAGTTAATGGGCAACTAGGATCCTAATTGGGCCCATTTATAACACTTTCAGCAAGCATCAGGCTTTAGGGAAGTAAGAGACCAGTTTGATAGAGGCCAAAATGCAAGAGAGAGCAGATGTTTTGCTCTTGCTTGAGGAGGTTCAGTGGCTTGGGGTTGTGGAGGTAAGGGGAACTTTTTCCTCTTGCTTCTCACTATGGAAAGACAGATTTGACAAGAAGATGTATCCTTTTTTTGGAAGCATGAGAGTAGGTGAGGAGAAGGCATCGTTTCTTCATGTGTAATTATGGTCTCTGGATCTTCTGAAGTGGGTGAAATTTCAGCAACAGCTACTGAGCATACTAAAGTAGTTCAGCACTGAAGATGATGCGTGTTTAGCAGAACAAATAAAAGATCTATACAGCAAAGGAAGAAAAGGTGTTGTCTTGCTTCAGCAGGTAAACAGAATAAAAATTATCTGGAACTGGGTTGGCACAGTTTCATTTGCCTGAGTTTTTATTGAGTTTGCAGTTTTTTCTGAAAAGCCACGTGATACTGATTCGTCCAACCTGTACGATTCATTTTGATGTGAGACTTCAGAGACTGTTAAACTTGCCAGTGGAAATAGTGTTCTCAGACTCTTCATTGACATTTCTGGCAATACATGTTTTTTTCTCCTTGCTTCTAATCCCCTCATTTTTTTTTTTTTGTGATAAAGATTGTGTTGTGTGTAGTGGCTTTTCTGGATAGAGCACAAATAAAATTGATTGGAAAAGCGCATGAGTAGTTTTAGAGCTGAAGCAGTTTGCTAGAGACAGCTGTCATTATATGTGGATTTTCATAAGTAATTCCACAGTTGCCGATTCCTGTGATTTTTCTTAGCTTTGATAAACAATCAGAAATGGAGTATGTTTATGAGTTGGTTGTTATAACTGAGAGAGATTGTTCAGCTTGCCCTATTCACTATTTTTCACACTTTTGGTTGATGTTTTCTTGAATCTTAGTATCTGCCCAATTAAAAAGGCAGATAAAGGTAAAGCAACTTATTAGTGCAAGCGCTCTCCAACCTAAAAATTAGGGTTTCCGTTAGAAGGGGTCTTAAAAAGCTACAACCATCGATATATACACCAATTCTGGAGCTGTCGTAAGCCACTGTTAATTCATGAGAGTGCATGGATTTCTGTAGTACACCTGTTCAATGCTGTTTGTAAAAGCTCGATCAGAAAAAAATCAAACCATAAGCTGATTTGATTTGTTACTTGAAATATTTGCAAGAAAGGAATCTATTAGCTCTGACTCTTACCTTTGCTTAATGTAGTACTCAAACTAAGCATAAACAGAGGAACCATTGAATATAACTTGACTTAAAGAATTCTTTAAGTGGGGGTTGTGTTTTCTTTTGAGATTTGTTTTGATGGCATACACAAGTCTAACCATCTTTATTTAAAGACAGCCATTAAAATGGTGAGGTTTTTTAACTTGGAAT